AAATTATAGTAGGCAGAAAATAAGAAGGTATAACAAAATAATTAAAGTTTCTCCCATGCCTACAGAGTCGCTGTTTTAACCACACTCGTGGCTAACCAACCTTTTCATACTCCCAGGTCGACGAGCCAATAACCAGACTTGCATATATGCACCCACTCGAGCAGCACCTGTCTTCATTTGGCATCGGCCGTTCCCACGGTTTCTATCATCTTCACTTACATTTGATCCTCGTATTAATTCGTCACTCTATCACAGAAGCTACGCCCTTTTTTCCCGTCGCAACATATTATTTCCTTATTAATTTCGCGTATTTATTCCATTATTGTGTCGTTACTCAAAATTTTTTAACGCTTGAAGGTTTAATTACCGAAGTTTAGGTACGCTCTATAGAGACCAGCGACACATACAACCGAAAACAACACCATGCAATTACCAGCATACCATCGGATCACACATCACATGAACAACCATCTTCGGCTTCCTTCCTCAGATCATAACGCTGCTGGTTTGCCTAAAATGTAATGCTCAAATCTATAGCAGCAAGTTGACGCTACAGTACGACCTCACCAGTTTTCTCTATAACACAGCGAACCTCCAAGAGTAATACTAGGTTGGTCGGAAATTAATGCAGGATTTCCAACATGTAGCTTTAAGGTGGCATATCTCACGGCACAACAAACTTTATTAATCGAGAAAAAAAGCGTTAGAATCTATTCGTTTTATCAACGAGGAATATTTATTCATACAAATTGTATAAAATTCTATACTTTAGGAAATGACAAACTCGTTGAAAAAAATTTCGGCGTCCTTCTGGTTTCTGAAGGACTTCTGGTCTATCCATGCCAAATCAATGAAAGTCGGTATTGACGCTAGTTGTGTGTGTATCTTCTTCCGCCAAAGCTTCAAAATCATCGTCGTCCATGGCAGTTCACGATGATTTTCATTCTCTGCGTCTAATTCGTCACGACTAAATTACTGAAAACAACGTTCCACTATGCATTCAGAAACAATAACCCATCAGGATTCAACAAATAGTGACTCTGTCAAAAAAATCAGTTGTTTAACTCTCAGTTGTTCAATCCTTAGGCAGCTAGAAAAATATTTCACCCAGATTAGAGGGATAGCTATAGAATCAGCACCAAGCCTTGCTATTGACTTTATAACCAAGATGGACTCTCTAGTTCTCGACAACCAATCTTGTTCTGCTGCCGATATACAAACGCTTCATTGCCTGCTCTACACAAAAGAGATGGACAGATACTTCGAATTCTTGAATAGACGGTCAGAGCATATAAAGCTTAAGCGAGAAAAACTTAATGAGAAGTAGATACCCTTCTTAAACGTCGAAATAAAGCTTCCAGAAAGTGACTATATAACAAAATGTACCGAAAATCAAGTAGTAAAAATATACTAGTGTACTATCTTTCCTCTCATCTTTCACACATTAAGAAGACACTCATCAAAATCATGTACTGGACGGCTAAAAATGTGTACACAGGAAAGAGAAAAGGAAGGAATCGCTTAATTTGGCACGATAAGTAGCCATTTCCAACGGCTACGAGCTAAAAGCGACCAGAGTCGGACGAAAAGGTAGAACTGTTCCCCAAAATAACGTCTGGAACCTGAATAAGATCCCTTTTAAGCTACCCTTCGTATAAAATGAAATAAGTGATGCCAAGAGATGTTTAAGGAAAAGTGGTTTTGAAAATTATGTGGTAGTGATTGATCTCCCAGCCAACACCCTGCGCCGCCGGTTACTTCGCAACCGCCTCTATGATCGTTCATGCAGCTCAGAAAATTCTATGATCGGTCCTAACGGGAGAGACGAAGATTGCATGACTTCAGGTACAATATACTTGATCTCATGTAAGGCATGTGATGAAGAATACATTAGGGAGATGGACACACCACTTTGTACCCACATAAAAAGACATTTAGATGGGAAAGGTAAAGTTGGAAAAAGTACTCCTCTAGGCACAGCTAGGGCAAAAAAGCACAATGGTGGTGATTCTGACGTGACTCAGGATTCTGGCGCAGGAATCAAAAACATAAAGGCACAAGACTTTTGAGACGTTTTAACCAAGGTTAAAAACCCAAAAATGGGTCGAAAAGAAGAACAGCTCACTATCACACATGACATGGCGCGCTTCCTCAGATTGATTTACTGAACTGGGTGGGTCTCATCCGTCATCCTACGTGAACAACACAAGGATGGTCCCATATGTTACAAAACTGTGAGTAGTTTTTAATCAAGTGGCGTCCACAAATCTTTACCAGTACCATAGATAATTCACCAAATGATATCGATAGCGTTACGTAGAACATGGTCAGGCTCAGGAAAAGAGGAAATCGCTGAAACATCGGCCATCGAATCGCAAGAAAAACAGTAACGGCATCAACCGAGCCTCAGCTGAAGAAGGGAAATTTATAACATTCGGGCAAAATACCTCGTCCTTTAGCCTCATTATGTGCCGAGCCATTTGGACTGTATTAAAACCGATTTCGAATTCATAAAAGCAGAGTTGTCGAAATTAGTGTTTTGACGCCCCAAATTCTAACCCGCAAAAGTCGTCAGGGATATAATTCGCAATATAATTCAATTACGCAAAGTGAAAGTGCGCAAAATAAACTTTATCATGGTATAAGACAGTACACCTCTCAACGGTTTACCGCCTCATCGTGGCTGGGAGGTTTTCCTGGTTGTCGGACAGCGATGTAGAGCGAAGGGGATTCATCTTCCTGACAAGATCTCCCAAGCTGAGAAGGAGTCCGTTTCCATCAAGAAGCCTTGCTAAGAGTAAACAAATACCAGGACGCACCATCGCCCTGGTATCAAAGTCGCATGGTGGCAAATCTCCCCTTGATCCACAAGGGCTGCAATTGCCTGTGGTGGTGACGAGATGGGGCAGACTTTGGCCAGGTTGACCTCGGGATTCTAGGGAACCACAATGGCTTCACCGGCAAATCTCCAAAAAATGGAGATTGTGCTGGATACCGCACAACCAGTCAGGACGGGCCATTAAAGTGTTCAAGTAAGTATATAACAGTACAACATTTGAAAAATTTATTCCCAAAAATCATAGAAGAAATTTAAAAATACAGATCCTCCACTAGTTTCTGAACAACCATACCTACGCATTATTGTGGAACTGTGAATTAGCCGGCGTCGAACCACAAACAGGCCACTCACGGAGCAAAAGTGTATTACGGAAACCACATCAACCGTCTGCCGAACAACTCAACGATTCGATGCAAACTATCTACTCCGATCCACCAATACAACCAAGAACTATGGTTCAAACGCCGGTAACTACTGTTCAGCTAATAAACCACTGCTGACTAGTTCCGCGCATTTGTTCCGAATAGACCACTCTGATCCACAGAGGCTAGTAATTGCCTATTGGAACGTACTAGTAAGCCGATCCCAGGATTGCAGTGAGAATCCACTCAATTAGAATTCAACGACACTCGTAAAGAAAAGTGCCACAAAATGCAGCCGAAATCGAACCACGCGCAAAAACGGACTTCACTGATGGTGAGTGCCGCACAACAAACCGAATGAAATAGGAGCTGGAATCTCCTCAGTGAGAGAATAATGGAAATTGTATGCACTTCCTCTACACAGCATAATATATAGAAATTTCTCTGAATGTTCCACAGCACTTCCCGAATGGAACGTGCAGTTTCACCAAAAACAGCGTCTAGGACTCTTTAAACTTTACTAAATTACAATACACTGTTTCTCTGATGTAGTTCTACATCATTCCAATCCAAGTAGTTTGAAGGCTGAAGCACTACCATATTATGGTTGCTGGTAAATCTACACTACAATGAAACGGACCCAGAGATTTTCTACGTTTAGAACTGCATCTAGACTATTCAGACGACGAGTTCTGCATGCATAAACCACTTCGAGTCGTATTACAGATGACTTTAGCAAATAATTTCATTTATTAAAAAGTAGAATTTCGTGATATATTTCATCCACTGTACTCACTATACTCGGTTTTGTTTTGGCAAATCCTTACAACAATAAGGTACATAGCATCCATATTTTGTATACAAATCCATTAAAATACCAATTACCTAATTAAAATTACAAATAGTTGCGAAAAACATCAACAACGAAAGTTCAACTATTTTGCAAATTAAAACTATGAGCAAAGATAACCCACAATGCTACTAAACTCTGATTCTCTATCGACACAACAACTAATCAATACTGATAGTTAAGCACGATATAATCTACAGTCATTGAATAATCATAAAACCTTCTTGTTCTTTCGTTTGACAACTGGGACTTTGTTGATTGGTGCAATACGACGAAAAGTGTTAATGTAGACATATCTAGAAAGAAAATACACCATCAAAATGATACTGCGACATAAGAAAAACTGGGAATCTCAGATCATCACTGGAAAGTAAAATCGGCATTTAACCCAGATAAGCTGAAGTTGCAGTCGAAATCACAATGACAACTTTTTATTTACTCCCTATTAGAATTTTTACGGTAGGGTATTATGGGAATTAAAGCCACAATGATGCTGAGATATTTGCAAAGCTCCGGACCGCAAGTGTCTGCGGTGGGGATCGAACACGGCATTACCCTTTCGAGGGCTAACGCATTCACCATCAAACCATGCTGGCCCTTCGTTTGGCCTTTCTCTCAGTTGGTTTTCTATCTACCAGTACAGACATCTGCGGGCCGGAGTTTTGCAAATATCTTAGCATCATTACGGTTTTAACTCACATAATACCCTATCTTGAAAAATAGTAGTAGGCTGTAAATTAAAAGTTAACTAGTAGACATTGTCGCATGTATTTAAGATGTCAACTTTATTAGGCATTCATGCCTCATGGTATTTATCTCACTTGTAGTTTTACTTTCCACTATTATATAAAAAGTACTAGTGATCTCCGTATTTCCAAGCGAGCGGCGTTCAAAACACGTAATGGAAGCGCTTACTAAATTGCAGCAAGAAAACAAGAAAATATAATTCCTACCTGCTGAAGATCATGTACAAAAAACGGAACCATACAAATTGTGAACGATGCGTACTCATAGCACGCCATGCAGCCACCACATCACAGCCTCGCGCAAAATATTGGAATGGTGAACGAGCGACAGACACTGGAGCGTCAAGATAACCTAGATATCTAAAGAAAAAAGCGATATTCAAAATAGGAAGAAGAGCCAGGTTGACAAAACAGACTTTCGTAAGAATGGAACCGAGTCGAGGACGAAAATCTGCACATCTTCTGGAATAACTCCACGAGTGTACGCATCTTGCAGTGCTTCAAAACAGGACGAATGATTCGAATGCCCTGACACACCACCAGCATCGAAAGACAACACACAGTCGACAGAGAGCACCTGCAACTCAGAATTTTCATAAATAGCAAATAAAGCACATAAAAAAATTCGCCAAGCTCAAGGGCATTCAACTTGACACTCCTTGTTCTTCACATTCTGGTGAGAAAAGGTACATCATGAATTAACAGAAAGGGCAAGATTTCCCTAGTACTATTGCTATTGCTGTTGCATGCTCAAGTTCACGATCTCTCCAGAAAATTTAAGAAAACGTTTTCAAGTAACAACTGGTGCCAAAACTTCACTCTTGACTTAGTCGTCATCAGAAAAAAGAATGACTTCCTTACTAACAGCTTCACATCCCGTGCTAGAACCGTCGAAAATCATAAAGTAAATCGCATCACACCTACTCTGAATTTGGAACATTTGACATCAAAGCTTAACACCACCTCTTTACATATGGGAATTACAGGCATAACGTTCCTTAATTTCCAAACTCATTTATTCAAGCAAATCGTTCGATATTAAACACACCTCAATGTACCTCAGCAAAACGCTGCTCAACGCCTGACGATCCCAACGTCCACCATCAGGGAAAGCATCGTAATCAAGTATTGTGACGTCTGACGACATGACACCAAGAAAACGAACGGCCTTCCAAAGCTCGTAACTTCTTTTTAATCCCTATTTAATGAAATACAGTCCATTACAGCAACTGATTCTTCATTTAAGAAACATCTAACTGAAAAATTACCAGTCCTTCATAGTTGCCATTAGAAACACACAAAATGAATACGCGATGACCTGAAGCCGTCAATGCTCGTAACGCTGGTGCGAAGAACATCGTTTCGTCATCTGGATGTGCAGTTACAAGAAGAACCTGCCGTACAAAGCATATGATTCAAGAAATACTTAAAGTTCCCTTTAGAAAAACGGGCTATATTACCTTTGAGAAAGGCTGAAGCGACAATGATTTATTGCAACGGAGGGAAAACAACAAAACGATAACGATGAAAAGAAGAACGCACAAAATAAACGGAAACATTCCTGAAACTGTTAGTATATTATCACCTAATCTCCTTTAAATAATATTTTGGAGTTAGAAATACTAAAACTACGTCTTTAAATTTCATCACTGCTCTCACCACTTGACAGACATTTACCTAGGCACAATTGATGATAAAGGATAAAGGATAAAGCTCTCAGCGTTGATCAATCCCTGAAGGATGCATCATGCATTCGACTTCATCAATTAACGATGGAGTTGACTGAATGCATAACTCGCCTTTACAACAACTCGCGATGGCCTACCGATGTATCGACCCTGTGATGTTATCCTTCCAGACAAGTCTAGTACCAATTTCCAGACCTCGGATGGATGGAAAGCTTGGTGAACCTGGGGCGTTGGGATCGATCCCATATGTACTGCAAGGAGCTTCCAACCATTGCGCTACATGCGCCCACACTAGTGATGATAGTAAAAAAAATCGAATCCAACTTAAAATTTAAACTCTAGCTTTCAAACTTTAGTTCTGTGGATGTTTATTTATCTAATTTGATAGAACCTTTATGCCAAGCTCAGATATGACGTTATAAAATGCACATTCTGAACTGTTTTTAGTAGCCATTTATAGTGCAGTAAAAATGAGACATATAAAACAAAAAAACCTGTTCAACTTGAAGGCATTCACTGATAACTCCGAGGAAATCAAGGACGATGAAGGTTGGAAATTGATATAAACTGCATATATTAAGATTTAGTTGGCACCAGGCGATTCTTTGTTTGGGAACGCCCTGTAACGAGACACAGTGCTCAGTGTGATACGGAGTGAGAGCGATACCTATAACTTACGATGAATGTTTCTTCGACTCGATGCTAAGTATCAGTTCCTCAAATGTTTGAGAGTTTCGGCTCTGTGGTAGACGTAGTGAATCACCAAACGCTTCTCGCATTGCGGTGCCAAATTGGCGCGGAGTATTCACTTGTAGGATCCAGGACACTCCAACAATAAACAATGAAAAGCCGGAAACTGAAATAGATACATTCCAATGATATTTTAGTACTATAACATTTAGTATGACAAGCTAATAGGAACCATTCAATGATTTAGAAAGCTTCCGACAAATTTCCGTCAGAAATACTTAGTAAACCTATTTCTCCTTCCCATCGGTTTATCGCCTCATCATGGGAGGTGTCTCTGGGTGATGGGCTTCGATATACAATAGGGAATTCATAACCCAGCAGGGTTTCCCAAGCTAAGGAGGAGTCCAGCTTTTCCACTAAGAAGCCCAGCTAAGAGTAAACCAATACCAGGATCTACCACCATCCTGATATCAAATTAGTCGCCAGTAGCAAATCTTCCTGTGATTCACAAAGGCGGAAACTGCCCGTGGTGGTGACGACCTAGGGCAGACTTTGGCTAGGGTCACCGCATGATTCCAGGAAACCACAATGGCTAGACCAACAAAGCTCTGAAAAAAAAATGGAAACTACGCTGGGTGTAGTGTAGCGCAGTGAAGATGTGTCAACCAAGTACTCAAGTATAATACGAATAAAGGATAAAGCCCTCGGTATTGATGAATCCCTGAGGGATGCGTCACGCATTCGACTTCATTAAGTATCGTTTGAAGGTGAATGAATGGATATCTGGCATTTACAATGACTCACGGTGGCTTACCAATGTAGCGAGCCTGTGCTGCCATCCTCCCAGACAATTCTGGTGTCAATTCGCCGACCCCGGAGGGATGGAAGAGTTGGTGGACCATGGGCGCGTGGATCAATCCCACATGTGTGCTGCAGGGCGCCTTCGACCACTGCGTCACACGCGCCCATTACCCAAGTAAGTAAACTTGCTTCTTTGCCTAGAGTATGCAATTTATTGATGAACAAGCTTAGAATAACTGACATGACACACAGCTTCTACATAGAAATGACTACTAAGATGTAGAAAAACTATGATTCCCATTACTCCATGAATTGTTGCAAGTAGTAAACAATTTTGGAAACTTCCAATGTAGACATGTAATTCTACCGAAGCCCAATCCTCTTGTCAAACTTTTTTTCCGAAATTGTGTAATATCACCATTAGTATTTCCAAAGTCTCCCAACGATTTACCGCCTCATCATGGCTAGGAGGTCTTCCTGGGTGCCCGGCTCCGATGTGCAGCGGGAAATTCATCCCCCCGCAGGATCTCTCAAGCTGAGGAGTCCGGTGTTTCCATCAGGAAGCCTAGCTAAGAGCAAACCAATATCAATACCATGATGCATCACCGTCTTGGTACTAAAGTGGCGTAGTGGCAAATCTTCCTCTGATCCACAAAAGCTGCGACAGCTTGTAGTGGTGAAAACCTGAGACAGACTTTGGCCAGGCCGACCTCGGGATTCCAAGGAAGCACAATGGCTTAACCAGCAAATCTCTGAAAAACTGAGATTGTGCTGGGGCCCGCACAACCAGTGGAGATGGGCCATTCAAGTATCAAGTAAGTATTTCCAAAGAAAGAAGAAAAAACCACAACACATGCCCTAGTGTATGGAGAAGTACGGCTAAATAAAAACTCCCTTAAGGAAACGATCAGAAATGAGCAGCACCTGTAATGACAGTAGCAACTCCAAGCGCTTTACTAGCAAGTCCAACTCCAGATAACACCTAAATTGTAGAGACCTTGTTTCATTTAATGTTAACTTACATGAAAAGTTCCAAATCAAATTACCTGCGACCTCTGCAAGTCTACGGCCCAGGGTTGTCGAGAATACTTCCAAGCACTTCGAAGACCGGCGACAAGACTAGTAAGTGAGGCAAAGCCAAGGACTTAAAGAATGTATCTATGATTAGGTACGAAAAGTTCAACTGTAATATAAACAAAAACTACGGGAAAAACAATGCCTGCGAAACAGGCGCTCAAGAAACACATACAGAACTCTATTAACTTAAAAAAATCTTTGCTTAGTAGGGTGCACATTTTTCCTACTTTTCCACAATAAAAATGTTGTTGGTCTTCTGAACCTATACGTCGTTCTTGGCAAACCTTTAATCGAGTCCCAGGTCTCGAAAAGCGAATCAAACAGCCATTCGGAATTTCACCCAACAAGAAATTAACAATCAAATGCACCGCAAATCGCATGTACCAGACATTCGTTAAAAACCTCAAATTTTCGAACTTTTCTCTCCAATTCTTTTGTGTTGAAAATAACATTATAGAAAAAAAAGTGTATCCTCAGAGCAATAAGGCAGTCTTCTCTATAAGGACGTCAAGGCACTGATCCTCTAGAGCTCTAGCTGCTCAAGAATCAGCGGCAGTCGTCGAAAAACTAGCGACGTGCCGGATTTTCAAAGCGCGAGCTTTACGCTCATTTTAAGTAAGGGCAACTAGCCTAAAATGTTAACTGGTCTTAAAAACCGGTGTTGGCCAGTTAATCGATCACTGCTTCTTGTCTCCTTACTACTTTGTAGTCTCTTTTCTACACTGTATCAGTGAAAATTGAGAACGACCAAATAGGTGATACCCCAGTAAAAGCACTGCTTGCACAAAACATGAATCCAGCTTCATTTTGCGCAGAACACTACCTCGCCAGGGAAATGTAATGAACGAAACCATGACCACACTTACTTCCCTTCACAACAGTGGGAGACACCGAAGTAGAATCTACTTTATTGGCTACACGTGCAGCCGAATGTAAAGCAGCAGCCGTGACACTGACAGCTCCTAAGCTAGGACTGGTCGGATTGTTCTGTTGCTGTACATCACCCATATACAATCAGAGGCCAGACCCCTATAAATAGAATCCAAATGTATGGTCAGATCACAAATTCACAAAATTCGAACGATAGTGATGGTGAACAAAACGTAAAGTAGAACGATAGAATACACCGAATGTGTAAAAACTTGCACTGAAAGTACTAACATTTATTTAGTACACAAAAATGTCAACAAAAAAGCCAAACTTCAACAAAGGGAAATAACGGTCGATCCTAAATATGAGATGCCGTGGTGAATGAAACGAGAACAGACCATGTGGCCTGTTTGTTAAACACACGATTTGATCATGTGTAAGGGATTACAACGAATAACATAACGCAGACAAAGGAACCTTTTTCGTTTTTCTTCATGAAAATCAAGAATGATGTCAAAAACGGAATAAAGAACACGATGCCGTCAGCGTTACTCCAACTATTCGGTGTCGCTCAGTGAATCGCTGCTAGGAGTGGGAGACCTCTTTCTGTCTTTCTTTCTCCTTTCCTGCAATAAAAAAAGTCGTTCAGTCAAATAAACACAAATATAAGATTCCATATCAAGAACTAATGAAGTTAAAAACAGAGGAGTCATTTCCAAACTTAGTATGACCCTACATAGAACAGTTACCCATGAATTTGCTTCTAAGATAAAAGTAGTGCAAGTGTTTCTATCGAGTTCGTTTGGAAGCGCAGTGGAACTAGACTTATTGTGTAGGTTGCGAAAACCACCGATTGCTAAAATACCCATAACAGAAAAGATAAAGTATAAAGAATGAGGCTCTTGGCGTTGAACACTGAGGGATGCGCCATGCATTCAACTTCCTTAAGCATCGTTTGGAGTGGAGGTGACTGAATGCATATCTGGCCTATACAATGACTTGCCGCGGCCTACCAATGCGTCGCTCGCCTCCGACAACTGCCGACAACTGTACCGCAGGCGCCCCGAAATACCTATAGTAGGAGAGGAAATTTCTTTAGTCTCCAACTTTCCCAGTGATTGTTTTATACGAGAATCAATTAAATAAGATCTGACATTGGGAAGACTTATGTTCGTGATGTAAAACCCATCCCTCTCAACGGTCCGCATATGTAGAATAACAAGATAATGTAATAAAAATTTTACGACGAAATTATGGCAAAGTCTGACCCACCTTCTTGTGCTTTTTAGACTTCTTCTCCTTCTTTGGTTTTCTTTCATAATCGGAATCGTCATCGCTGTATCGACGTGAATGCTTCTTTCTCTTCTTCCTTCTTAAAAGAAAAAGCGCTAATTGCTAGCTGTATACACATGAATGGCTCAATAACGTACAAAAGAACGTTAAGCTTATATCAGCACACACATCAACATATTTTTGACATTACGCCGGCAGTTCTGTCGAGTAAATATAAAGCCAGTAACAATATTCGAACTATGTACTTGAAAAGGAAAAATAGCAAAACAACAAACAAGAACACAACTTATAAAACAGAGAAAAGAATGAATAGATCGTGAAGTAAAGCCAACTTTAAATCTTCTTCAGAGTCGGAAGGACTTGGGCTTCGTTTGCGCTTGCTACTCGAAGATCCCTCAGTGAAACGTCTCCTTGCCGGTGATCGAGATTTAGTCCTGCTTCGCCTTCTACGCTTCTCACGTTCTCTTTCCTCGGCTCTACGACGCTCTCTACAAAATTATTACCGATAAGATCACAAATAATGAGGCGTGCATGCTAAAAAAAAAACGCAACAACTGATTGCCAACCAGACGGACAAGAGAATGTAATAACCACGAAATAAATGACAAGAACAGAAATACCTTTCTCTTGCGCGCTCCTCTTCTTTTCGTTTCTCTCTTTCCCTTTCTTCTGCCCGTCTTTTTAATCTTTCTTCTTCTCTTCTCTTTGATTCGGCTTCTCTTTTCTTGTCTTCTTCTATCCTCTGCTGACGACGTTGATCGCGATCTCGCCCTCGCTCTTTTTCCTTATCATCGTAAGCCTTCTGAAACATAACGTTGTATAATGGACAAAGGTAGGAATGCAAAGAGTGAGACTGAGGGCGATTATTTATAAAAGGCCATGTAGTAATCGATACATTGATGCTTGGATGGCCCGCCTTCGCTGGTTGTGCGAGTCCCAGCACTACTTCCACTTTTTCGGAATACTGCTGGCTTAGCCACTGTGGTTCTCTGGAGTTCCGAAGTCAGCCAAGACAAAGTCTACCCCAGGTCGTCGCCACCTTTATAGGTTAGAAGAAGCTTTTCCACCATGCGACTATTATTATACCAGGACGGTAGTAGTAGATACTGGTATGGTTTTACTCTTAGCTAGGCTTCCTGATAGAAACGTAGTAATCTATTAGAAAAGAAACCGTTAAATATGCGATCCTTCCAGCTGTAAACCCACTTTAGTACTATTTTCGCTTAGAAATAATACTGAAAATCCAAGGGACTACGTTTAAGGGTAAGATTTACTACTGTACATACTGCCAATAGCGCATCCTGTAAAAAGTGCAATATATTTACAATCTCTCTTGAAATGAAAAAAGCGCGTAGTGGCAGTCCATCAAAACTAAAGTCCATCGAAACAGCAGTGGAAAAGTGCTGTGAAACTGAACAACATTAATCCTTTCCACCAATTCTATTGGGAGTGGTAAGTATTCCTATCCGTCTCGTATTTTTCAGCATGGAAACATAAGCAAAATGAGAAAGTAGGGAAGATTTGACAGGATTAGTTCTGATTTCCCCTTCGCATTTAATATAGGCGCTTGCATTTAGCCTTAAACCGATATGAACCACTGAACGAAGATTCTACCTATGAATTTATAAAAATTCGCACGTTTCTCTACTACATGCGTATATATTCATCATAAAGCAGGACTAGAAAGAGAAGGATGGAAAGGATAACATGTGCAAGAAAGCGCGTCGTGAATATCGAACACCGATAAGGAACCTCACATTAGTTACGTGCTGAGCTTCTCACTATATCGCAGCAGCGAAAACCAACTTCAGTCATAACATAGATAAAACTAAGACAGGTATAATGAATTTAGCACTGTTCTGTACCTATTCTAACGTTACCAATACATCACATTAAATAAAAGGACAAAGCTCTCGGCGTTGATCGATACCTGAGGGCTCGACTTCATTAAGCATCGTTGGAGGTGATTGAATGCATCACTGGCCTTTAAATGACCTATGGTGGCCTACCGATGTATCGAGCCAGTGCTGCTATTCTCCCAGAGAAGTCTGGTACTCATCTGCCGACCTCGGAGGGATCGCAGACTTGGTGAACCTTGTGTGTTGGTATCAATCCCATGTGTATCGCAGGGCGCCTAGGACCACTGTGCTACACACGCCATTAGGCCATATTAAAGTTTTCAGTCTGAACAACTATTTATCTGAATACAGATTCAGAAAAGGCGCAAGTTGAAGAACACTGTTAACATTTGCAAGCAACTGTAGTTTATTGGAGAATGTTAGGAACAAAAAAACGAATAATAGATTCCCGTAAAGGTTCACATGTCAACCTGACGGAATTTTGACTCGAATTTCATCTGAAGTAATTTAACGAGATGCGATTTCCAGACAAAAAGTTCTAGTAGAGACAAGAACCTTAAACTACTCTACAAATTAAAATTGGTTTTGCTTACCCTTCTTGGTGGGGTATCATCATGTGATGTACTGTTTCTTCGATGCCGAGGTGGTGTTCCACCCTTTGGACTGATTCTTGTAATACGATCATCAGACACTCCCTTTTCCTTCGTAGGACCAGTATAACGACCACCCGATAATGAACTATATCTGAAACAAACGACAGTAACTACAGAGAGAAATGCCCGTGAAAATTATGTATCTTTGTGAAAAAAAAGTGGAAAGTGTAAAAGGATAAAGCTCTCGGTGTTGATTGATCCAAAAGATACGCCATGCATTCGACTTCATTAAGCATCGTTGGAGGTGATTGGATGTATATCTGGCCTTACAATGGTTCGCGATGGACTACCGATGTATCGAACCAGTGCTGCTATCTTCCCAGACAAATTTGGTACTAATTTGCCGACCCCGAAGGGATGGAAGGCTTGGCGGGCCTGGATCGAGTAGACCGATCCCATATGTATTGCAAGGCGCCTCTAACCACTATGCTACACATGACCTCTGCAAAAGTAACACAATGAAAATGATTAGATGAAAAGTCACCTGTTAGCCCAGTCACACGATTGTGGAGTTGGCTCCACTTTTGCCTCTCCGTTTCCACTTACACGTGGTTCTTTGCGCATTTCGTTGATTTTCTTCTCAATAAGACTTTGTGGAATGCCATCTTCAGATTCGTCTGCCTCAACCAATAGCATCCACAACTCACCCATAAACTCTCGCGCACGTCTCGCGTTCAGAAAACCCGTTATATTTATCTGAATGGGTAGTGAAAATAAAACAGTAAGTTCAAAGGACGACAGAAAGAAAAAGACACTCAATGAAGAAGAGAAGGGAAGGAAAGCAGGCAAGGGAATGAAATGAAGAAGCTACAAATGAATTAAGCATAACGCACTTGCATGATTTTAGGGTTTATATTCTTCTCCTCCAATTGACTCATTATGTATTCGATCACGACGTCATCTTCGATTCCAAGAATTTCATTGATTCGCAACGTTATCCACGGCTTTATGACGTCCAAGTTGATTTTGTCCATATTGATCTTAGAAAAAACCATGCCGAAAATCCTTCAAACAATGAATTGAGAACGTTCTTAGATACTCCTATGCCTAGAGAACAAACCTAGTTGCCATTATAAGAGAAGAAATCGGTAACACAATGCCGCGTTGTAATATAAAAAAAATACCTTCCGATCCAATGTATCCTCGAATTTCATCTGCTTGAGCAACTTCTTTTCCTTGTCAGAGAATCGACCGTCCTGATCTGAGCTGGTACCACGAAAGAAACCAGCGTCACCCATTCTGGAAAAGATTATGGTATCGATGGTGATAAATGGGAAGAGATGAGTGGAATGAAGACAATAAGAGGATGATTACAACGTAAATATGAAAAAACAACGAGGTGTGAAAATCAAAAAAGAAAATACTTCCATGGAAATGAACACGACGCATGTTTCTTGGATGAATCGCCAAACTGCAAGTAACCGAAACCGAAGAAGATAGGCAAATAATTACAAAAACAAAGATGAGTAGGTAGAAAAACTAGCTGAGAGACAGGCGAAACGAAAGACCCGCATGGTGTGTTGGTAAACGCGTTAACCTCCGGAAAGGGTAATAGCGCATACATTACCCACCGCAGACAACTGCGGTCCGGCTTTCGCAAATATCTCAGTCCCATCGTGGTTGTATCGCGAGCGTGAGTATACAAAACGAGGGTAATACGGTAAGTACCATAGGAAAACATTAGCGTAACGACCATCTTCTAAGGAAAAATTCCAAACGTAGCAAATAGTCGACTCCCACTTCAGACATGGATCGAGACGCTCAGAGCTGATTAGAACAAACTCGGACGAAACGTCGCGCGCGACGCCTCAAAGAAGAAGCATCGCAGAGATGTTAAGGAACTCTAGCGGCATCAGACAACTGAGATATTGAAAACAAAGTTCAGTCAGTGTCAATCTTCTTAGGAAACATCACGTTATACTGGTTGTAACTTTTCAAACTATGAGGTTCAAATTCTGGAATGTTTCGCAAGCGGCGCCAGGCCGAGTATATCGATCGCAACTTAGTCGATTGGAGCGAGCAATTCGAGCGATGACTACCAGATCAGTAGCATTTCGTTGTATACTCTTTTCAGAATTGAATTCAAACGAGTTTGTCAATCCGCTTTTAGCCGAACTTTGTATTAAAATGTCTGTCTGGATAATAGGAAATACATCCATAGCTGTTGTCTCTATCCATGAAACTTGTTATTATTGTTGAACATCGTAAAATAGCGATATCTTGCTTTAATACTTGGATGGGCTGTCTTCATTGATTGTGCGGGACCCAGCATAATTTCCACTTTTTCAGAGTTTTTCTGGTTTAGCCGTTGTGTTTCCCTGGAGTCCCGAAGTTATCCTAGCCAAAGTCTGGCCCAGGTCATCACCCCCACAGGCGTTCGCCGCCCTTGTAGATTGGAGGGAAATTTTCCGCCATGCGACCAGTTCGATAACAGCAAGGTGGTGGATCTTGGTATTGGTTTACTCTTAGATGGGCTTCCTAATGGAAACGTAGTATTCCTTCTCAGATTGGAATACTGTGCTCGACGTATGGATCCTCCTATTGCACATCGCCAGACACCCTGAACAATTCCTAGCCATGAGGCGGTAAAGCGTTGGGAGAAATAGCGATATCACTCATTACAGCAAACGAGCAGAGCATAGAGGATTTTCAGTGAGTTTCCAGTGATCCGGATGGACGCCTGTTGAAGACGTTCGTTAAGTTTATGAGTAAGAAGAATATTGATCACCTTCATTCTATGTTCGGAAACATCTCGATGCATCTGGGATTTAGGATTCTTAATAGTAAATCGTCTTTTTAAGTGGTTTACCGCCTCATCGTATTTGAGAATGCCTTTGGGTATCTCGCTGCGGTTCCCGATGAAACTTATCGTTAATTTCTTAGCAAGATTATCCAAGCTGAATATCCGGAAATTTCCTTCTGGAAACGCAGCTAAAATCAAATCAGTGTCAGTTCCGTAAGAATTTCCCTTGCATGAAGGGAAACTCCTCAAGAACCGACGAATGTCTGAATGAAGAATGTCTGCGTGAGATTCCGAGAACTCATGGAAAAATCGTGTCAGGCCAACAACTTGGCAATTAAGTGGAAAATTTGATGGGACCGGTTATACTTCGTGAAGTGCCGTTTAGTTACGAAAAATTATACCAGGTACTGTAAAGCTAATGACTATGTAATGATTACAGTCAGTATGTAGTAAGGTTCAAATCGTTACGCGTTTGAGGAAAGTGAATCCTTTCATTACCAACTGTTGCCAACTTTTGCCTAATATCCATCGTCGAAATTTGGACGGCTCCGTAACCGAACGCGTGGATTTGAGCTTCCCATATGTAACCCTTGAAAGGTCACCCTATTCAGCAGTACGTGGCTCGTTACTTTTACAATGGAAATTGTTAGATTAAACCCACCTCAACACGTGAAACCCCGGAAAGGGTGATCACAAGTTCTGTCTGGTCTGGGATCGAAGTCTTGCAAATATTTCACTATCGTAGTGGTAGTTTTGTTGATCGTTAAACTCAATGACTACATTTGCGCTACTCAGTGTTTCTGAGAAAGGGGTAGCAGAGTGGTAGTGATGCCGCTCATCACGAGCACGGTGCTGATTCGACCCCACACCCGGGCCCACGATGCACCTTATCCCTCTGGGATCGAGGCACAAGGACCACGCTTGCCTGTTCGCTCTTTACAGAACTTCAGGGAGAATCTACTCGGGCAACATTCTACGATATTCAAGATAAAGTACAAATCCTCAAGCATCAACAGAAGCCACACGCAAAAAGTTGGAAGACCTTCGTGGATGATCGATGCGAGGGAACAAACTGAATGCAGGAAGTGCTGGGCTGGGGGATTCATCGTTCCAGTAGTTTCTCCCAAGCTAAGAAGGAGTCCGGCGTTTCCATCAGGAAGGCCAGCTAAAAGTAAACTACCACCGTCATCTCTCCTCGATCCACAATTGCTGCGACTGCCCGTGGTGGTGACGACCTGCGGCAGACTTTGGCCAGGCTGCCCTCGGGACTCCAGGGAACCACAATGGCTAAACCAGCAAAAATCCGAAAATATGGAATTTGTGCTGGAGCCGGCACAATCAGTGACGGTGGGCCATACAAGTATTCAAGTAAGTAAGTCGATTGGTTGATGGAGAACATTCAACGACTACATGAGATACTTCTTCCGACGAGTTGTCCTCCTGGGTTCCCACATAAGCATCGTGGAAGGTGATTCTTAGACAGTGACGGAGATAATCAACAATTGTAACTTAGATGTCAAAGCGCTATTTGAACACCATAGAGTGGTAATGAGCCAGATTATTAGGCAGAAGACGCGGAAGGTTTCAGAGTTGTCGATCATGTACTTCCCAGCTAATTTATTGCAGACCTTGGCTGAATCGAAGTACATGTTTCAATTAGTTAACTCAAACCACACCGTGTGAATGCGTGAATATGATTACATGTAATGGAAGGTATAAGTCGTCAATCTCAAGGAAATAACATTTCAGAAGTTATTGCATCTTTGATAGGAAGCATCGAGGAACCAGTTCATAAAAACAATGTTGCTCGTTGAATTTTTGATAGGAAATCTTCATACCATTCTAATGCTATTGCTAGCATAGCTTAGCCAGAATGCTATGTATTAAGTCGGAATTCATGACAAACATCGTAGATTAACCTGGCCATCAACTAAAACTCGGTACTTTTCTGATGCCAGTAAGTTAGAATCTTTACAGTCTCACTGCTACGCCAAGTAAAGCAATTCAACCTTTCAGCAAGTTCTTTCAAGCTTTAAACGGCATTCTGCCATGATGAGATTGTGTTCGACATTTCCATCCGGTAGGTCAGCTGTCTACAACGACATGCCTCGGCACATCCCAGTGGCACCGGCTATCTTCTCGCAGTGAAAAAGAATAAGACTCGAAAGCTCTTTGCGTTGATTAATCCCTGAGGGATGCGCCATGCATTCGACTTCATTAAGCATCGTTCGGAGGTTAATGAATGCACATCTGGCCTTTACAATGACACGCGGTGGCCTACCGATTTATCGAGCCAGTGCTGCTATCCTTGCAGACAAGTCTGGTACCAATTTGTCGCCTCGGAGGGATGGAAGGCTTTCTGCCATGGGCACGGGGACTGACTCCTCGTGTTTGTTGCAGAGCGCCTCCGACCACTGCGCTACACGCGCTTTTACGAAAAAGAATTATAAATAAAAATTTTATATATAATGAAGCTCGCTGGATCCTCGAATGAATGGTGTCGTCTTGAAATATGCAACGATTGATGAAGCTACAAATGGTTGCATTCGACACTCGTGATGTTCATTTCCCTATTTGTGGTATGTTACAAGCATATGACTATATGGTTACCTTATTTCACGCTTAGTTTTCGAAATTCTTAGAACTTTTATGGAAGGACTACTTAACGTGAGTTGGTTTCGCTCCTTATGAAGGCTTCTCAATGTGTGACTACAGGGGTTAAAGATTTTGGCAAAATTCCTTGGGATGACATAGGCGTGACATATAACGGAGGAGTGGGAAGAACACAAGAGTGACATAAAACGCTTAGCAAATATTTCTTTTTTATTTTATGTTAGCTGATATCTCTTATTGTCGAAATCTCAGTACTTCCTATATTCGATTTGTTTCCTCGCGTCCGTCACCCGCGAATGTAATTTTGCGTGTTGGTTCAACTGGTGCTCTAGGTTTTTTTTTTTAGTTTTCTTCAATCCTAGGATAGCTGTGCTAGAGCGCTTGCAGGTTTACATAACAAATGGGTGCAATTTTTTATGTATTAAAGAGAGAGAACTCATCCCTGGTAAGTCTGGTGTAAACTTCCCAGCCGTAATGGAATGAAGAGTTTGATTGACCTGGGACGAGTTTGAACCTAGTGTTTAGTGAACACCATTATTACCACTGAGATATCCACTCCTATGCTTAACGACTAGTAGTTGACAGTGATGGTAAAATTATAACAAGCAAGTTGAAGGCGTAAGATGTCTGGGTGATTGACAGTGTCAATCTTTACATGAAGACAGAAAGAAGGATATAACCATAACAATAAAAACAAATGATGAGCAAATGACTAGGGAGAAGAGAAACAACACTTTTACGCCACAGAAAATCAGCAACAAAATGCTTTGAGTACTCGTAATCATAACACATTATGATTGCTGTTATAACAAATGTCAAGATGGCCGTCAAGCCACTAGATCCTATATTTAGGGAATTATGGCGCATCCTTGAAAATAAGGTTCACACATACAGTTCGAGCGTATCTGGAAACCACCATTCCTCAGAAGGCACAACGGCCTAGATCATCGGAATGTGGCATTAGGTTGGCACCGCTTCCTTGTATTCGGTTGCATCGAGATTGAAAAGATCCTCAAGTTTCCATTGTAGCGTCTCGAAAGTCGGCCGCTTTTCTGGATCAGCATGCCAGCATTGACACATTAGCTCATATAGTTCCGATGGACAGGATGACGGGCGAGGCATACGGTAGCCAGCATCCACTTGTTGCAGTACTTCGGCATTGGTCATACCTAAAATTAGAAGTCAAGAGAGTTGTTTAGTTCAGCAGCACCTTGTTCTTTTTTTGCTAACGATGTTCTCATAGACTTGTCTCATAAGATAAGTCTTCCCCAGGCTTCCTTTTCCATAACAAATATCTGATAGCGTTCTAGCCAAGCATGAGATGTGGCGCCCATAGAAATTTATTGACCATCCGAAATTCGCTCATTCAACAATTCGAAACATAAATGAGTTGAAAGTTTAAGCTTCCTGGTTATTCAAGCAAATATTGAAAGTGGAAAGTGTGTGAATTTTTTAGCAATTATTTAAGCAGGGAGCGCGTGTGGCGCAGTGGTCTGAGGCGTCCTGCAATACAAATGGGATCGTTTCCCAAGCGCCTGGCCAACCAAGCGTTCCATCCCTTCGGGGCCGGCAAATTGGTACCAGCCTTGCCTGGGAGGATAAGAGCACGGGCTCAATACATCGGTAGGTCACCGCGAGTCATTGTAAAGGCCGGATTTGCATTCAATCACCTCTAAACAGTGCTTAATGAAGCGAATGCATGGTGCTTCCCTAAGGAATTGATCAACGCCGAGAGCTTTATCCTTTTTACCCTTTTATTTAATCAAAGTTGACATTAATGAGTTTCTACCGAGTTTTTAATAGGTTTTGAGTGTTTTAGCTTAAGCAACATTAGATGTTCACCACTGGCGCCCACTTAAGCTGGAAAAGATCTTGACGGTTTCATCTGAAACCATGGTTAAGAGTGACCCTATGACAGAAGTCGCTAACGGTCTTGAATAAATGTGACAACTTTGACTGAAACCGCTCCCAGCGCGCATAAGTCGGCGAACTCTTCTGGTGCTTACAAATGTTCTCGAATGACTGCCTCTGGAATGCGGGGAGGAAATAGAAGAAATATTAACCCCGTAGGAAATTTACTGGCAGCCGTACTTTTCGTATAAATGGGTCATTCGAATAAACATACATGCAATTAACTTCGAACGTTGATCCTTTAATAATCTAACTCCGTTTAATGCAACAGCTCTGCATAATTAAGGGTATTTAGAAGAAAATGTTGACTGGATGATCTCACCTGGATAGGGCGCCCGGCCGTAGGTTACGATCTCTGTGAGTAAGATTCCAAAGCTCCATACATCGGACTTCGTGCTGAACCGATTCAGGTTCGCTGCTTCCGGGGCAGTCCACTAAGGATATTATTTGGTTAGTCACAATTGAATTTTGGCACACACAATCATTAAAAACGAGTAGGTTCTCTTACAGGCTGATCTACTACAAGTTCATCAACGGTCTAGTTGATAGCAATTCTGTTATTCTGCTACTAGCTTCTTCAAATCAGCAAAAACTGGCGATACCCTACTGATGGTGACGGCTGGACGCTTCACTGCGGTTAGCAAAATTTCAGGAATTACCAACTCGACCAGCATTTAAGGACATCACAGAGAAATTCTCTAGCAAAAAAAAACCGCGTAGCAGCAGCGAGCCCAGACACAAATCCGAAGACGTTCGTGTTTAATGAAGGCGAGGAGACGAATCGAATTGAGGAAATGCTCGCATCAGTACACTCTACATGATATCGGGTCATGTGCAATAATAAATGAATAATAATAATAACAATAGTAATATACATGACCCTACTTCACATATTGTGGTGGTACCTACATTTACTTAATTTAGTTCTTTGTCCCGCAAATGTCATCCGTGAAGGTCTTCGGAATTGCATATGGATTTGGTCACCAAATCAAGACTTTATCTCTGTCCTGGCTGTTGTAAAATACTGATCCAGTTAATCATTCACGGAATTCTAGGATAGCGCCTATAAAACGCAACAAAGCTAACTTCATGAGCAGCCGCCGCCCTTTCTCGATCACAGAGCCCCAGAAAGAAAGCGAGTAAGTATGGTTAAAATTCTTGGATTTTCCAAAGGCAGCGTTTCCATTTGGAATCGTATTATGAACAAAATAGGAATTATATAGTAAATGAGTCAACTTAGTTCTACCTTAATTGGAAATCGAGCCCCTACTCGAGCCTCATATTGGTTCTCCTTGTGAAGAAGTCGAGCTAAGCCAAAATCGGCTATTTTCACATTAAGGTTGTTTTTTGTGAGAATGTTACGAGCTGCTAAATCACGATGGATGAAGTTCATCTCTTCAAGGTATGCCATACCAGCGGCCACCTGTAAAGCAACTTTTTACATAATGAATTGTTGAAAGAGAGTAACGGATGTAGGCAAAAGGCAAAAGACAAAAGGTTAAGGCAAAAGTGTCGAAGTTGAGGTGCAATCCTTCAACTTCAGTGCAATGGAATTGATCTCAAAAGGCACCAGACTTCGAACCTTTCAAAGTTTTTGTCTTCAGTATTTTGATCCGCGTCTTTCACGGACATTTCACTCGCAACATCGTACTACTGTAACCTCCGAAAATACAAATATACATTGACACCACTGGTGGTAAAATCGACAATAACCGATAACCAACGTGGGTTATACACTAGGAATCGCGTGAAGAACTGGTTGATATTCAACTAAGTTTAGCGGACAAAACGAATCTTTGTGGTGTTTTCGATTTCCTGGAACAATCGAGGAAATGTAGTGAGAAACTGTTAAACAACAATTTCCTCCACGAAAGGTTCGAACAATTACTCAAATATTCGGCCATTCAGATATTCGGTCAATCGAATAACGAATACATCAAGTGTTTTGGAAAGACGCCATCACGTAAATTGAAATGCTACAATCACGATGATGCTGAGATATTTGCAAAACAAGGGTCTCTGTAGTGTAGCGGTTGAAACGTGAGCCGCGCGAAAGGGGTCATCACGGGTTCGGATCTGGCCTTAGGTGAAGATTTTGCAAATATCTCAGCATCGCTGTTTTTGTGTTCCAAATAATCGCTTGCCATAACAAAATAATAGACAGTAGATTAAAAGTTATACATTGAAATGTTACAATTCAAAGGCTACTAATTTCACTAGGAACTTTTTCTATTCGCAAGTAATCAGAACTATACAGTTTCCTCAAAAATTGCAAATGCCATTAAATTTGCTGATTATTTTCGTGGTTAAAAAATCGACTCAAATTGAGAGTTAAAAAAGGATAAAGGATAAAGCTCTCGACGTTGATCAGTCCGCGAGTGATGTGTCATGCCTTCGAGTTCCCTAAGCCTAATCGCCTAAGCTTAAGCTTAAGCCTAAGTCTAAGTCTAAGCCTAATCACCCAAGCCTAAGCCTAAGCCTAAGCCCAAGCCTGAGCTTAAGTCTAAACCTTATCGCCTAAGCCTAAGCCTAATTAGGCATCGTTTGGAGGCGATTGAATGCATATCTGGCCTTTACAATAACTCGCGGTGTCCTACGGATGTGTCGAACCAGTGCTATCATCCTAGACAGGTCTGGTACCAATTTGCCATAACTTCTATGAAGTATAATTCATCCTTTCAATTTTGAATACATTTAAAATCAAAGCTCCCGAAAATTGAGGAATGTACTCAGTTTTAGAAACTCTCATGTATTCCAAATATGAGTGCTAACGAGAAAAAAAAAGTGGAAAGAAACATTCCGAGAAAAAAACTGAACTTAATCGTGGTAGGATAAGCGGATTTGTTACTTGTAGGCAATGTCCGTAGATTCTAGATTCTAATGGTTTTTTCTTTTTACTAAAGTTCGGACCACAAGTAACAAAGTTCACCATGAGCTGAATATATGTCAGTTTAGAATCTAAAGCAGGCAATAATTCTGTAGAATGCGCATTCAAATCCATGCACATAGTCCGTGCTAGGTAGCACTTCGTTGGTGGTAATTATCCAGGTTGCTTTACACATCGGCCAGAAGTGCAGCGAATGATTTCCAACGGCTTCAAAACTTCTAGTCGAAACGCAATTTCTTTCTGTGAATAAAATTTTTAATAGGGAAAAAAGAAACCTGTGCAGCGATTTCGACGAGATGAACAACTGTGCACTGCTTGCCCTTGCCGTGCAAGAACGTTAACAGATTTTCCTGCATCAATTCGGTTATGATTAAAATCGGCTGATCTCTTGTGCAAACCGCGTACAGTGTAAGAAGTTTCGGATGCCTGAAAAATATAGAAAACATGAAAGTTTCTTCAGCTAGGAAGAAATTACTTCCCAATATTCCTGAATTCTGAACGCCCGGCCAAGTAAGGAAATCGTGACAAAAAAAAACGAAATGTTAAAGGTTCTTTTTATTTCAATTTCCGATATAATTAGGAAAATCTTCACGAGGGAAAGGAAGCGGAACAAAGAAATTAGACAAGAAGGGAATTGTTGAAGTCAGTGGAAAAGAATGTCAATTTCCATTAAGCTACGGCGATCGCTAAACAGGTATTTCGGTATACTATTATACTATTGTCACAGTGCTGTTAACCAGTATTTTTTGAAGTGAGTGTAGCTCAGTGGCTAGAGGTCCCTAGCAATGCAGACGTTGAATCAGCCCTGCCCCTCAGTCTAGTCAATCCCACCTTGCCTCTGCCGTATACAAAATGGTACCAGATTGCCTGGGAAGATGTAATAAAATCACTGATCTGATACATCGGTAGTCTCCGAAAGTCGCTCCATAGGTCAAACATGTATTCAGTCACCTATACGGCACCAGGAATAAAGTCGAATGCATGGCACATCCATAAGGGATTGATCAATGAGGAACACTTCATCCTTTCTTTTGTACATCGTTCTGCTCTTGTTCTGTTTCAAGGGCATACTCTACGATCTCCAAATGCTGTTCTAGTTCCGGGTTTCTAAACATCTCGAGCCGCTGGGAGTAAAAGAAGGAGTATAGTGCATGGATTTTCTTAAGTAGAAAAAAACTCCTGCACACCAAAGGTAGTCATGTTAGAACGTTCCTATCTCGACGCCATATCAGGCCGCCAACGATTGCAGTTCGGAGAGTGATTTTCGGTTTTACCATCAGGTTTACCCAAAGACTTGAGCGATCCTTAGCATGGAATATGCCTTAGTTTCTGAATGGAAATATCCAACTTCGTATCAGCTTACAAGGCTCTCTTAGAAAGTGGAGCTCGTCGTCTAGGTGAAAATACTAAAAATGTGGGAAATGCTTCGCACATTAACGTCGACCGTTATCCAAATAGCTGCTAAACAACTACAAGAATCGTAATAAGCAAAGCAATAGGATTCAATCGTTGAAGCCTTGCAAGTGTTAAGAATTACGAAGAAGTCGTTGTGACACACCTGAGCTTCTTCATGATCTGGGCCTCAGTCAGAAAGTCGTTCGGATCGGCTGCACCCGACTTAAGTTTCTTCACCGCCACCGGCACCGTACCGTTCCAGCGGCCTTCCCAAACCTGTAAAGATCACATCTGGGTTCCATTCACTATTCCATGGACATTTCCCACACGACTTTTAACATTATTACTCGCTGCTCTCAGTGTTTTTTGTCACCTTTCACGTAGTGGTCCATTTTTCAGAAGATCTATTGCGCTTTGTAGCATCTGAAGGTTTTAAAATCAATTTTGCTTGATCAATTTCAGTCAAAAAGTTCTTTCGGATGTTTTTTCTCTCACTGGTTTCAATTTCAATCATTTGTAATCCCTTCGAACTTAAATTTCCCTCTTTCACCAGCAATTTTTTTACTAACCATCCTCTTTCTTAAATTTATTTGTCATACAACTAACGAAATAATTGATATAAAATAAACCAGAAGTAAACTATGACTATCTTAACCTTTTTATTTACTGCCTATAATTTAACGGCATGGTATGTTGCGAAATATAACCTCTATAATGCTGAGATATTTGCAAAACTCCGGACCGCAGGTGTCTGCGGTGGGGAACGAACGCGCTATTGTTCTTTCCGGGGAGTAACGCGTTCACCACCACACCATGCGGGTCCTTCGGTTCACCTGTCTATATCTCAGCATTATAGAACTTAAATTATGACTCTTTTACAACAATCTATGGAAAGGATTTTTGCAAAAATTACGGGGCAGGACAAAGAAAAAGAAAAGAAGGTTGAAAAAAACAGCAAAAATAGGGCAATGAAAATATGAAAGAATGCAAGTCATTCAAAAGTTAACAGTAAAAGGAGCTATTTAGTGGAAATTTAAAGTTTACAGCATTTGTTTTATAAATCTTGGGATTAAGCTTTCGAACATTTCCGAGTCTCTCATGTGTTATGGGAAAAAAGTGAGTTCACTATTCAGCTACGCTGCTGTTGGCTACATGTGTTATTTTCTGGTAAGCATGACTGACTTTATGCATTGATATCAATACATAATTTAGCAGGCGGGTAGAATAGAATAAATCGCGTTATCTCACTGAATATTCTTTCGGTTAAAACCATATTCGTTGAACTTCTGTTTGCTACCCATTCTTTCTTCATGGGCGGAAATCTGAACCACAGGCACATCGGTGTTGAGATATGAGCAAAACTGGAGACATCAGTTGGACTTAGAACCCGCGATTAACCCATACCAGTGGCTCGCGAGTTGTCCAACACACCAATCAAGTGCTTTCATTTACTTTTGCCCACTCGATATTTGATCTTGGGTCATATCTGAGCATCCTTGTGGGTAGTCTTTTCGGTCTTTTATTTTTCTGCAAAAAGTTTATTTCCCACATCTTTTGAATCCAACCACATGACAGAACAGACAGCCTAACTCATCACAGATCTTGTGCAAGACTTAGCTCGTGGAAACCTTTGCTTTAAACCTAATAGTTTACAAATGACCTCTTTTGACGACTTGTTTTACGCGCAAAGCTCATTGAACTTGATTAGATTATTTATCTCCCAACGGTTTACCGCCTCATCGTGGCTGGGAGATGTTCCTAGGTGTTGGGCTGGGATGTACAGCGGGGGATTCATCCCCTGGCAGGGTCTCCCAAGCTGAGGAGTCTTTCCACAAAGAAGCCTAGCTAAGAGTAAACTAATACCACGATCCACTACCGTAGTGGTATCAACGCCGCATGGTGGCAAATCTCCCTCCGATCCACAACGGCTGCGAGTGCCTGTGGTGGTGACGACTTAGGTAAGACTTTGGCTAGGCTGACCTCAGGATTCCAAGGAACCACAATTGCTCGATTAGCAAATCTCCGAAAAAAATGGAGATCACGCTGTGGCCTGCACAATCAGTGAGAACAGGCCATTCAAGTGTCCAAGTAAATAAGATTATTTGCTGCAATATTTACCAAGTAGATCAACACTGAATGGAACTAGTGTATAAAAGATTTCTATTTAGATAATCTTCATGATATTCATAAAAAGTGTAAATTGTAGAGAATGCAGATTACAGTGGTTGTAATTTGTTTACAAAAATGTAAACCCTCTTTACATGACTCATCTCTATATCCACAGTGCGGATCTCAGCACTTATTTCAATCATTTAGTTTCCTTGCATCCGTCATCCAAGGTGTTCGCATTTTGCATGTACATTCGGCTGCTCCTTGAGAATTATTTACCTTCTTTATGAATGCCGCTCTTTGTGTAATCCTGAGAGAGCTGTGCTAGGACACAAACTTGCCCAAAAAGTTCATAAATCACAGTTTGTAACCTTTCTTGCACAAAGCCTGATAGAAAATCTGCTGTGGGAACACCAGACAAAAAATACGAAAGTCATAGAGAAAAAAACGAAAAAGGGTGGAATCAGTCTTTCCTCTCCAACGGACGGACAAACATGCATTGAAATCAATGCATAACGAAAATTGTGTGTAATTCGACTTCTTTTACTCACCCACAGGGCAAAATTCCATAGAAATTATATACTTCTAATCTCACCCACGTGTTTCAACATAGGCATTTGTCGACATTCTAAAACGCCTCCTCTCCATTCTTGGTTGATATTTCGACATCGGCAAGCTTTACTGCTGCTCGCTTTAGTGTTGTTTCAATGAAAAGAATGAATCTTTCCTAGTCCATTTCTCGACCTCGTGAAGGTTATATGAAGCTTTGAACGTTTATCGAGCGCTCTGAAAGATTTTCTGGAAAGGAACTGTCTTGAAGTTAACCGATGGTTTTCCGTCAGTCACAGTATCCCATGAAATACAACCACGATTAACGTTATCGTTAGTTGAAATGGTGTTCTTTAAAGACCTGGAAGAGCATAGTGCCCAGTCTGTATGGCTCGCACTCATAAATAAGAGGTCGAGTTCTTCACGAGATATCGACAACGACCGTAGATGATTTATCCCTGAGTCATTTAGCTTGAAAATCGACCTAGAAACTCAGCGTTGTGATTGATGTACACCATCTGCATATTATGACCTCAATCTCTTTTTCTAATATCGTGCGTAAGAAATCAGACAGGAATGTCACGAGCAATTCTTTCCCGCTTTAGCGATCGATTTCACTCTCGTTTTACTCATTTTCGGAAGATTGATTCTCCTCCATCCAAATGTGTGGGATTTCGAGGAGCTGAACAACCCGATGAGTGCTGACTTCATCGAAAGAAGTGGGTGAACTTATAACAATACTATACAAACACTAAAAATTATAACAATGGTTACTGGTTTATCCATAGATTATGTTCGATTATTTTAACGTTTGAGTACTTAGACATCCATTTGCATTCACCACCCTTTCTGTTTGCTTTAGAGTCCAGAAAAATGCGTTAGTCCACTCCCTGTACAAAAACCAACCTCGCCGAATTGACCGGAGCCGATTTGTTTAGTGAAGATGACTGAACGGCGATCGATTTCCCATTGATCATCTAGAAGCCGACGCATGAACTGACATAGAGGATCATCCCAAAATGATTGAACTAACATACACATAAACAAAGGGACAAACGGACAATCGGACAAGCACACACACACACACGCGCGCGCACGCACGTACCCACGCACGCACATGTGGACGAAATCTGGTGGAATTAATACCGTGGGTAAAGGTGAACGTCTGCGGTGCGTCACATTTGACGCAAGCCTTATCTAGTTGTACGCATAATCCATCGGCATTTTTAGTGTAGTGAGCGATGAGATCTTGTAAAGTATTGAACGGTCGTCGCCTAGTAATAAAGTATCCGCCCTGATCCAGTCGACGGACACGGTAATGTTTAACACAGTCTTCTTCGCGAACTGAAAAGCAATTCATTTACGAACATTTACGAACGGCAGCGACTAAAGGACACTTTACAACATTTTAGCTACTGACATTATTGTTAAAAGAGCAATTAAGATTCTAAAAAAGGTAAGACAACTTTGCAGTTGAGCTTTCTACTGCTTTATAAACGTTAAAAAGAAGGGACTCCACTTTGAGGCTTTTTGACATCGATAGACCCGGAACGTCATATAGCTAAGCTATGGAGGACTAGAGAGAAGTTTTACAGTGCTTTTACATAAGTTTGCTTCCTTATCTTTTATATTCTATTCCTACTACTCGACGCATGGATAGTGCAGTAGTTAGAAGTGCTGCGTAATGTACACTCGATCGGTTGGTGCTTCGAGTCCGCGATCCTGCGTTCCAGCCTCACTGCACCTTCCAACCCACCGAGGCCGTCGAATTGGTATCAGACCTAACTGTGATGATAGAAACACTGACTTGATATGTCGATAGACGTCTGCAACTAACTGAATAAGCCTCTAAGAGGTTGACCGCCGCCGAATGTTGTATAAATCCTCTATTTCTATTAACACAGCTGGAATCAATTGTGATGCCGTTGTTGGTTGAGTAACTCGCATATATTCAAGGAAAGCCATCCAATTTCACGTCAGAGCTTCCCAATAACCTCCTGCATGCTCGGGAGTCACGTGGAACATTGCACTGTCAATGAGACCTTTTGTTTTTGCCGTTCATGGAAAAAGGGTAGCCACGAACAGCTTGCCGTTCTTTCCACAGAGGTGAAGGCTAGATGTATTCCTGGGTAGTTAATAGGTAAGCTTACTAGTTATCGACGAAATTCACTTCAAAGCTCTGAACAGTTCATTAAATATCACTAATTAACTTCAGTTTAATTCTCAATATTTTTTCACAGCACAACCACCTGATGTCGTTCTATGCATTAGAGAAATAGCTATATTTGGACCTGCATAAGCTGCAGGATTATTTATCGTTATCATAGATTTTCATCTTTTTATAGGAGGCTTAGAGCCTCGGCCAAGCCGTGCAAATCAAACAAATAGTCGGTGGACAAACGCTCTTCTGCGAGTCGTTTAAAAGACCAAATGGATAAGTGTGTTTGCTTAATTCTTGGTATTAGTGTTAACTTTCCCCACCAATATCGGTATGAAGCTATTCCTCATTCATTTTCATATTTAAAGCAAATGGATGCATCAGCTAATTTTCAGCAGGTGAAGATGAACGCGATTTACCACTGTTTGCTCAAGTTACACGTAACTGATGATTTTCACACAGTAAGGTCATTTACCCCTCCGAACGGCTTACCGCCTCATCGTGGCTGGTAGATGTTCCTGCCTGTCGGGCTACGATGTACACTGGGGGGATTCGTCTCCCATCAGAGTCTCCCAAGCTGAGAAGGAATCCGGCTTTTCCATCAGGAAACCCGGTTAGGATTAAACCAACTCCAGGATCCACCACCGTCCTGGTATCAAACTGGTGGCATGGTGACACATCTCCCTGTGACCCACAAAGGTGGCGGCGCCCCGTGATGGTGACAACCAAGGCAGGCTTTGACTAAGTTGACCTTGGGACTCCAGGAACCACAGTGTGTAAATCAGCAAATGTAAACTATGCTGGCTCCGAACAACAAATGAGGAGGGCCTATCCAAGTATTCAAGTAAGTAAGGCCGTTTACCATCTAATCGCGGCTTAGAGATCTCTCTGAGTGCTCATCCGCAACGAAAGGCAAGGTGATCATCCACGCAATAGGGCAATCCAAGGAGATTGATGTTGCTATTCGAAAGCTTGTCTAGGACTAAATGAAGACCAGTAATTCCCGTCGTCCTGCGGGCAATTTAGTCTCATTGTAGTAAATCTCCCTATCCACGACAGCCAACAGGACTGCATTCAGCAACGACCTTCCAGCGTCCCATGCATTATTTAGAGACTTCAGCGAAAAATCTTCTTTAACCAATAGTATGTCGATTAGATGGAAAATGTAATGAACCCGTATGTTCCTTCATGGAGCCCAACAATTAAAGCACTCTACCAAGTACTTAATGTTATCACAAATATCTGAGGAATGAATACAAATGTTTCTCAATCTAAGTAGCCCACTAAGGATAATAACAAAAGGATAAAGTTCTCGGCGTTGATCAATTGCTAAGGGATGCACTATGCATTCAACTTCATTAAGCATCGTTTGGAGGTGATTGAACGCATATCTGGCCTTTACAATGACTCGCGGTGTTCTACCGATGTATCGAACCAGTGATGGTATCCTCCCAAACAGGTCTGGTATCGTTGCCGACCCCGGAGGGATGGAAGGCTTGGTGAGCCAAGGGCGCTAGGATCGATTCCACGGGTGTGTTGCAGCGCCCCTCCGACCACTGCGCCACACGCAGCCCACTAAGAAAATAAAAGATTTATAACTGGAGGTAATAAAAAGGTCAGCATAGAACAAAATGATAACAACGTAACATCTGCAGAAATTGACAAAATATATAAACATGGATTTAAGTCTTCTAATATATCGTTGTTTTTCAGATGGTTGTAAAGAAGCTGAGAAAAAGTAGAAATTTCATAATCACTAGGTTAAAAAGCACTACATTAAGTTAATTCCGTATGACTAAACAATATACATGGAATATTCACCCAAACCGACCTGACAATGACAGATCGCTCTGACGGCTCTCCGACTCTCGCACCATAAACGAACCGTGCTGATTCCCCAGTTGTAACAACATCTTCTCGGCATCAATTCGCCGAAGTTTTCCAAAGTACCATCTGAACAAAATCAATACGAGTGATTTCCGACAACCTGTAAAGAATATTCACGCTTACGGTTGTGATTCGATGCTTTTCTCTTTGGCGACGTAGTTACTTGGTATGTAGCCGGTTTTGCCACTAGCCTTATGTCTGGCAAACCACCATTCACCTTGCATGTCGTTCAAAATCTCCAGAACCTGGATTCATCCATTTTTTCGGGCAGCAAAAGAAATTACTGTCTTCACCATATATATTAAAAAAGATCGAATAAAGGTAAGATCGTCACATGTGATCTTCAACTTTAAATACTTTTGTACTATCGCCCTCTCTCTCCCTTCCGCTATGAAACATCGGCTTAGACATAGGTTTATACATAGAGTTAGACATAGATTTGGGTTTACGGTTGAGGCTATTCTTATTACTACGCATGCTCTTAGACGATTTATTTGTGAATATTCGACATTACATAAGCTCACCGTTTTCGAAAGCCTTCAGCATGAATAGGGATAATAAAGGATAAGGCTCTCGGCGTTGATCAATCCCTGAGGGATGCGCCATGCATTCGACTTCATTAAGTATCGTTGGAGGTCATCGAATGCATATCTGGCCTTTGCAATGACTTGCGGTGGCTTACCAATGTGTCGAGCCAGTGGTGCTGTCCTCCCAGAGAAGTCTGGTACCACTTTGCCGACCCCGGAGGGATGGGAGACTTGGTGGGTCATGGGCGCGGGGATCGATTCGACGTGTGTGTCGCAGGGCGCCTCCGACCAGTGCGCCACATGCGCCCTTGATGAATAGAGAATTGCAATAAACCATCCAGATGACAGAGAAAGATTCCTGTGAGTTTCATTAACTGATAGCTTTGAAACAACACAAAAATTCAGCAGAAAATGCAGGAAATGGTAAAAATGCTTTTAAACGAAAACAGAAGAAAAGCTTGATTAAAGAAATATATCTAATATTGTTTACTGAAAAGATTTTTGTGTATTTTTGCTAAAGGTGAGATCAACAGATAATCGGGTCCGAATGTCGAATCATTCGAAATATCGCCTTATTCGAACATAGCTCTCTCTGGAATACCAAAAGAAGGACATGTTCGGTCGAAAACCTCGGTAAATGTACGAAAAAATGTGGAGTACTCGATTTAATGAACGTTCGAACATTGAAAATAAAGCACCGGCGCACTGGTGAACGTTAATCCTACACAAGTCATATTGCATCATCAAATTTTATCCGAACTTCGAATAACGAGAGACTCTAGTTCGATAATGATGCCGTCCGAAACAGTTTCAGAGCTTATCTTCCCGGAAAACAAACTTAATTAAAAATGAAATGAAAGAAAAATTGGACTACGAAACACCTCGCCCTTTTTGAAACTCAGATCGTCATCGGTTCGAGCATCGTAGTCGAACAACGCGACGAAGCACAACGTGTTCGGCGGGGAGGACGGCTGGATCTTCGTGACGGCATAGACCTCGCCCTCGGACGGCTTCCTCACTCTTTTCCCAGCACATCCGCCCATTACGCTAGTAATCAGTCGATCAATGACATCGATAAGTTGATCAGATGGGAAGAGCACTTACTATAAAGAGAATGGATAACATATTACATCAATAAATGCTCAGTCAATTCGAAGCTTTCAATGAAGGATGAGAAAAGAATGAAACGATGAAAGATTTATCATTTTTTGTGAATCAGGTACGCATGGGCCAAATGTTGAAGGAGAAAGAAAACAACGAAAACGGCCTTGGAGAAGATGAATTCACAGAGAGCCGTGCAACATCAAAAACGTGTCTCGTTTCAGCTCATCAAAGAGAGTTCGTAAGGTAAAATTTCAGTTCCACCGAAGCAAACGGCTCTATTCAGTCCGAATGGCTTTTCCGAAGAAATGGAGAACCTAATTAGCTAAGGACTACCGTCGTCTCTTGAAGTCTCGTTAACCACTGTGTGCCTTCAGCAGGTACCAGTAAGATTTCCATTCAACCCTGGCGAACATCAAGAATGCACTGCATGAGTTGCCCTCAGTCGAGATCCACAAACAACTTCACAACCTTATTTTCTTTTTTGTCTAAGGGGGTATCCATTTAGGGCTTTCCAGACTTCTCCTTGGTGATCAAATGCTTGCAGATAGTTTGCTTCGAATTTCGGGAATAGGGGTGAGGTTTCTTAGTTGGAGAATTCTCTAAACTGTCACCCATACACTCGCTACTTACTTATGTGCTGATTTTTCACAACTATGACTACATGTATACAGAGCATATCAATCAGTTTACCCAACAAAGAAGGAGATCGCATTTCCTGGTCGCTCTTGATCCGCGCTTAACCTAACCAAGTAGCATCGCGACAAACCGGCTCGAGATCCCGTCACGTTAGGAAGATCCGTCATGGTCATGGTGTATATGTTTTCGTAACTCTCATAAAAGAAAATCATGATGATAACAGTGGAGTGATAAAAAAAAAAGCGATAAGAGGTGACATCAACTTTTATAACACAAAAGGGAACGCTTTAAAAACGGGCGCCAAAATAGGCCACTGCGTCATCGGTGCGGAAAATATTGCCGGAATGGACATCCAAACGGGCTAACCGAATAGTCTGTCATTTTGAGTGGGTCATTCGGTCGTCGAATGTTCTGCGAAAGGCAGCTGCATTCAGGTAAAAACATCATCAAGGTCAAATTCACATTCACTGTCTCGGCGAATTTCTAAGCAAAAAAAACCGATACAACAACCCATCTCTGTGAGCTTGTTTTCAGAGAAGTCAGTTCAATGTGGGAAGCTGAAATGAAAAGCCAAGTTATCTGGAAGCAGATCTTTTCAAACCTTCAAATCTTTTAGAGCAGGGAACAACACTGAATCTAAACGGATAATTGTATATTGTGAATAGGTCAATGAGGTGAAAGCGATGAGGTGAGTATGAATATGAATATCACTGTAAAAACTTTGTCCAGACGTTAAACGGAAGAGAAAACGATTTTTGTTGTATCTATGATAATGTAACGAGCTTAACCTTGATAGAATGAGATTCATTCAGGATTTCTGAACAATTAGATGTGTAGAAGAATATCTGAAGAAAGCAGAACTTTCTAATATTTTGACAAAATTAACAGTGTAGTGTAAAACATAAAAGAGAATTAGGTGAGTGAAGAACTCTGTAAAAGACATATATAGATCAGTTAAGGCTCATGGACAGCAGCATTCGATCTTCATAGAGTTTTGTTATCAGATAGCGATATGGGTGTGGTTTAATGAAGGAGGAGCTGCTGCCGCCGATTGAGGTAAAGGTCACCCATCACCAGGAAGTCAAACATTGGTCAGCGGCGGTTTCAGTCATCGGGTTCGCCCGCTCGCCAAACACGGACCCATCAGCTCAGTCACGGGCTATCGATAAACGGCCGACGAAAGGTTAAGTCGATACAAAGGCCAAGGTGAAATCGGTGTCAGTTTAACGAACGCGACAAAGAATTTAATGATTGATCAATAACTATTATGGTTGCAAATCTGTTAACGACGGGGTTCGTCAAAATTGTTGGGTCGTAAGCTTTTTCTTTACTCGAAAAAGAAGGAAAAGCTGCTTAGTCAAGATGCACATATGGGAAAGAAGATAATATTCGATAGTAACTGCACTCACCTACGGTTTTCTTCTTCTTTTTGTTAAGGTGCATAAAAAACAAAGATCAAGTGATTTCAACCTATACATTACATCCACATCATTGAGGTTACCGAAAGAGGTCCTTAGCGTCACAATTTGTGGGATCGGTTACTCGTTCAACTCCGACTCCAAAGAGATTAAGCTCTATACTGCTTAGGTGACTGGTTTACCAATTGATTGAATAGTAGCAGACAGGGGCTCAATACGATGAAACGCCGACGTTCCCTTCATTGACGGGTTCCGGCAATTATCACTGTACAGTCCGAAAAAGCTTTTCACATAGCAAGTTTTTAGATGGAACACGTCCATGACGGCGCATCTTGATGAATTTAATTAACGCGACAAACTTGGATCTCAGCTTATTTAGAAGAGAAAAGAACACACACATAGCGACTTTGCCCTAAGGATTTACGTCATTAATACAACGATACGTCAAACAACAATCGCATTTGTTGATGTCACTTTACATGGTTGCAGAATTCACGTTTTGAAGAACGCTTCGTGAAAACAACGACGTGTCAAATGACGATCAAATATTTCAATTTAGCACTTTTCCTCGTGGGTTATAATCCGACTTTTGACGTTATTAACGCTTTCAAGGACCACTGTAACTCTTCGGTAGCTCGACCGCCAACTACGTTATAATCAACTATATAAGGTAGAAAGCTCTTAGCGATGCGCTATGAATTTAACTTTATTAACAAATTTGCGACGACGTGACCTCTACAGAGGTCATTTATAACGGAACACATGGCCGATGTGACCTCCATATGTGTCATAGCCAGTTGAGAAAAAATTTATGCACAGTCCTGTGGGAACGCATCGAGATATTAGACGTCGTCGCGAATGTGTTAAGCATAAACGTAGTTGAGCATATACTTGGTCTAAATAATGACCTCAGATGGGTTGCAGATTTATAAAATCCGTGTTTTTATGATCTTAGACAAATCCAATGAAAATCTGCGAAGGTTCGAAAGTTGGAGACTGTGCTAGCACCTGACTCCAACTTATGACGTCGTGTATCTTGCAAAGTATCTCTAACCACCACGCTACGTGTTCCCCGATTAACTACTGAAACACTTTTCATCAATAGAAGAGATACAGTTATGAGCCAGTGCCAAAATGGCAATTCTAACTTTATTCTCCTTCTTTATCAAGATTATTTAATACATTGGAGATGGTGAAGGGCACTTGTAGCGCAGTGATGATAGCTTCCCTTCAATACACATGGGTTCAATCCCCGCACACCTTACTCACCACCACGGCGAGTTGATTTATAGACCAGAGCTGCACTCAGTCACCCAGTCACCTCCAACAATGCTTGATGAAGTCGAATGTATGGCGCGTCCCTCAGGGATGCATCAACACCGAGATCATTATCCTTTATTACTGGCAAAGATTCCTAACCTTGTCTGGCAACCCGTAAGACTACGTAATCTTCATCGATGCACTATTTGACTACGCTGTTGTTGGCGTTCACTAGTCGCAATATGTGTTATTTCGTGGTATGCACAACTGCCTTCATGCATTGAAATCAATAAATGCTTTAGCAGGGCAGGTGGAATAGAATAAACCACGTTATTTCACTGAATATTCTTTCGGTTAAAACCACACTCTTTGAACTTCTGTTTGCTGCCGATTCTTTCTTCATGGGAGGAAATTTGAAGCACAGGCACATCGTTACTGAGATATGAGCAAAACTGGAACCTCAGTTGGCCTTAGAACTCGCGATTAACCCACACCGGTGGCTCGCGTGCAGTCCACCACACCAATCGAATGCCTTCATTTGCTTTTCCGCACTTGAGATTTCAGTTTGGCTCATATCTCAGCATTTTTGTGGATATTCTTTTCGGTCGTTTACTTTGTTGCAAAGAGTTTATTTCCCACATTTTAGCATTCAACAAGGTTACAGAACAGAAAACTTTATTGGTCAGAGATTTTATGCAAGACGTAGCTCGTGGAAACCTTTTCTTTACACCTAATTGCTTAAAAAGATCCTTTTGACGATTTGTTTTACGCGCAAAGTGCGTTGATCTTGATTAGATTATTTACATCCCAACGGTTTACCGCCTCATCGTGGCTGGGAGGTGTTCCTGGGTGTCGAGCTGCAATGTACAGAGGGAAGATTCATTCCACAGGTAGGGTCTCCCAAGCTGAGAAGGAGTCCGGCGTTTCCTTCAGGAAGACTAGCTAAGAGTAAACCGATACCAGGATCCACCACCGTCTCGGCATCAAAGTCGCATGGTGGCAAACCTCCCTCTGATCCACAAGGCCGGCGACTATCCGTAGTGGTAACGACGTGAGGCAGACTTTGGCCGAGCTGACCTGGGGACTCTTGAGAACCACAATGGCTTAACCAGCAAATCTTCCATTTTTCTCTATCGCGTGCAAGAGTAGCCCAGTGGGTTCTGCTCGCTCTAGGGACTCGTCGAGCATCATATCTTTTTTCAAGGCTCTTTGTGAAGAACTCTGACCATTGGGTCGGTGGTCTTCCTGCAGTACATTTGGCATCTCGAGGAATCCAGTCACTAACGGCTCTGGTCCACCAGTTGTCATTCATACGCATTACGTGTCCAGCCTACCTTATCTTCGACTGTTCGGCGTACAGAACGGCATCTTTGATTTTTGATCGCTGACGCAGATCGGAGTTTCGGATCCCATCCCTTACTTGTGTGAAACGGAATACTCCTAGCATCGTTCTTTCGACTGCGCACTCAATTACGCTGAGTGACCTTTCAACCTGCTTACGCAGCGACCAGGTTTCTGACGCATACGTTAGGGCAGGAAGTACCGTTGTGTTGAAGAGATGGACCCGGACTCGGGTGTTCTTCGTTTTCCTCTTTACATCCTCGATACTCTTGAAAGCTCCCGAA